GGTAACCCTTAACCGACCGAATAACTCCTAATCAAGTAACTCCAAACTGAGTAACCCCTGACCAATTAACCCCTGACGAACCGAGTAACCCCAACCGACCGAGTAATCCCCTGATTGATTGAGTGAGTGACCTCTAACCAAGTGAGTAACTCTTAACTGATCGATCCTGACCAAATAAGAAGTAGCCCTGGCTATTCTTTTAGAAAAATAATAATAATAAATAAATAAATACCAGTATGAAATAGAGTTAGGGCCTGTTCTCATTGACTAAACTCAGCTGAACTGAATTGAACTGAATATTTTATAAGAGAAAGAAATTAGAAGATGAACTGAACTGAGCTGAATTGAACTGAACTGAACTGAATTTCAATGTATGAAAACAAACCCTTATAAACCGTCAACAGCTAGATGACCAATTGGGGGTCAGCTAATTAAAGGGCGAGAATCCAACAGGTGCGATCCACGCACGTAAAATTAGACATAATGACGTGGATGATAAAAAACAAGCCCTTTAATTTGGTGTCAATGTGTAAATGGTTGTGTTTTAGAGGAATGAAAAAGCAATGTCGGTTACTAAATCCTTGCTTTTGTAAAGCTTGACATCGTTGTAGGCCCCCTTGTATTTGGTTGACCAAAAGAGATCAATCGGTAAGTCGTTATGCAAAATTCTTTGATAAATTATTGATCTACGAAGTATTTAAGATGCTATAAGTATAGATTGAAAGGCTTCTGTATTACTAAAAAAAATTACCACCAATAAGATCCTGGCTTAGCAAACTATACTATATATTGAAAAACGTTCCTAACTAAGGGCGTCACCCTATATTTCACCAACAGGATGCCACATCTTCCAATTAGAAACCAACAAGATACCAAGTCACCCAATTAGAAAAATATGAACGGCATCCATCAATTAAAAAAATGTTTATGTCAAGAATCAAATTTAAATTCGTTGGGAAATGTATAAGAAGTCATACCATCTTTACTAACTAATAATTTTGCATATTTATTCTTCTAAATACGTAGTAATAGTTAATGTAGACCATTAGAGTGTATATATTTGTACTTTTACATTTGTCATTTGTAAAGTAGTTTGGAGTTCTTCAATCTATATATTAACAAGAAGACAAATTGTTTTCTTTGATTAAATCTAAACTAAATAGATATCTTTAAGATTATTATGTTCATAAAAAAATAAAGGAAATTTTGACATTTTCTACCACTAAAAACACCGTACGTGCTTCACATTTACTACCGGTTTAATTTTTTTTTTTTTACTTTACTACCACCCAAATTACACTTTGTTATAATTAACTACCACTTAACAGAATCTGTTAGGATTCCATTAAGTTTATTATAAAAAAAAAATTAATTAAAAAAAAACCAGCCCCTCACTGCTAACCCCTCAAATCAGCTGCTCCTCCCCCTCCTCCCTCCCGGCGGCCGGCGCCCTGAACTTCAGCCGGTGCCGGCGACCCCACCCCCTCCCTTTTCCCCACCAACGCTACAGCCCACCCCCTCCCTTTTCCCCTTCTTTGCCTCGACCTCGACCCCCACCATAAATCGAAAACTGGCCACCCCTTTCCATACCCCCACCGGAATCGATCCCTCTCCCCTTTCCCTCCACCGGAATCGACCCCTTCCCCTTCCCCCACCCAAAAAACGATACCCCTAACCCGAAACCACCGGCCCGAAACCATCTTAAACGAGTTTTAGGGTTTCGCTTATGGTGGTTTATTTTGGGGTGGTGGTTTTGGGTTAGGGGTGGCCGAAAAGGGTAGGGGAAGGGGAGTGGGTCGAGGAACGAGGAGGGGGACGATTTCGGTGGGGTTAATGGAAGGGGGTGGCCAGTTTTCGATACGGGTGGGAGTTGTGGTCGGGGCAGCAAGAAGGGGAAAAGGAAGAGGGGTTGGCTGTGTATGTGGGGGAAAGGGAGGGGGGGTGTGGTCGCCGGTGCCGACAGGAGGGAGGGGTGGCAGTTGTGGGGAGGGAGTGGCTGGAAGGTGGCTAACGGTGGTTGGGCCCTAGTAACAGAAATACTAACGGAATAACACTACTAGAAAACAAGCAAATTACGACGGACCTGAAATTCTGTCGGAAATAGCGAAATTTCTGACGGATTTAATTTTTGTCGATTATTTCCGACGAATTCAACAGTTCCGTCGGAAATCCTTCAGAAATCCTTCAGAAATTTCCGACGGAATTTATTTCCGTCGAAATATATGTGCTTTCCTACGGAATTTTCCGTCAAAGTTTACAGTTTTCGACGGATTGTAAATCCTAAAAAAATTAAATTTTTTTAAAAAAATTAAATTCATTTTCCCAAACCCTAAAATGCATCCCCTTCCACCTTTCTCTCATATTTCCTCCTCTCTTTCTCTCTCTTATATGTTTCAGCTCTCTCTCTCCTTCCTCCTTCGTTCCCTGACTTCCCTCTTCTCCTTCGTTCTCCTCCTCTTCTCCTTCCTCCTTCGTTCTCCCTCTTTTCCTTTCCTCTTCTCTTCACCGCCCTTTCTCTCTCCTTCAACCAACAGCGGCGCAACACCAACAACCACCACCAACAACCGCAACAGCCAACAGCAACAACAACCGCAACAACAAGCTCCGTCAACCACCACTAACAACAACCGCAACAGCGGCGCAACACCAACAACAACCGCGCATCAACAACAAACCCAACAACCACCGTCACAAGCTTCCCACCCTCCACCCTCAAGGTCTGTTTTTTGTAGATCTTGTTTTAATGTAGAATAGATTTTTGTAGATCTAGTTAATTTTATATATGTAATTGTAATGATAGATTGTAAATTTTATTGGATAATTGTATATTTATATATTTGATTTTATTTTTGTTGGTTAATTACCATTTTACTTAATGAAATTCTGATTAAATATGTAGATATATTGGTTTTGAGTGTTTGTGTGGTATTTTTTGATTTTGTTGTGTAAATTTTCGTTTTTTAGGCTAATTTCCGTTTTTTGGGGTTAATTTACAATTTTTTGGGGGGCTTTTCCTTTTTTGGGCTAAGTTCTGGTTGTGGTGGTGTTGGTGGTGGTGGTGGTGTATGGTGGTGGGATAGGGTCGTTGGTGGTCTGTGGTTCTGGTTGGGTCGGTGTGCAGTGAAGTCTGGATGGGGGGGCTGGTGGTGTGGGGTGGTAGCTGGTGGGAGGCTTTTTTTTTTTTTTTTTTTTGTTTTTTTAAAGGATTTTCCGACGGAATTTCCGTCAGGATTTTCCGACGAATTCATTTTTTGTAAGAAATTTCCGACGGACTTTTCCACACCCCGAAAACCTTTTCCGATGCATGAAATTCGTCGGAATTTCCGTCAAAAAAGTATTTTCGACGGAAATTCCGTCGGAAAAGTTCGATTTTCCTATAAACACTATTACGACGACACTTTCCGATGGAAACACGATTTCTGACGGAAAACAGGGTGCTTCCGACGGAATTTTTTAGTCGGAATTAAGCTGTTTTCTAGAGTGTAAGGCATTAGGTAGTTAATTCTAACAAAGTATGATTTGGGTGGTAGTAAAGTAAAAAAAAAATCAAACCGGTAGTAAATGTGAAGCACGGTGTTTTTAGTGGTAGCAAATGTCAAAATTTCCAAAAATAAAACTAAAAGTCAAATTCGTCTACATAAAATATAATACATGAAAACAATATACAATAATATTTAAAGTATTTATCCAGGGCATCACCTGGACTAAACACTAGTTTAAAATTAAGACGTGTTAGAGAATTCATCAACTTAATCAAAAGCCGAAGTCTATATAGACATACATATTATTATAGCATTACTCAAACCTAAGTTGGACCTAACATGAATAAGACTTTATACTCAGTCACACTCCTAATTTACATGAAAGCCCTTAGGCTTAAAGTTTGAAGTGCAACAGGTATGATGTTCCTCATACCCAACACTAGTATCCCACTATAAAAATGAGGGATGAATGAAATTTAGGGTTGAGCAAAAATTGTCAGAATAATAATGGATATTATTTGTTTAGCACTTTCAGATGAGATTCAGATTTTGGATATTACCACTTAGTTAGGAATATTGGAATTCGATTCAAAATCCATTTTCGAATCGGATATTCGATGCATGCTCACCTTTGGGATTTGCGTATTTGACTTTAGTGTCATGTTCCCTCTTAGTACCATGTAAAATGAGCAAATCACAAAAATTGAAGCTAATGGTCGGAGTATCAAACCCCTAATTACTGCGACTTTTCTTCAATGGCCAATTGACCACATTAGTATAAAATTTAGCACTTTTATGACATATTAGTATAAAATTTTCACCGCCGGTGACAAATTGGTACTATAATAGTTAACAAATTGTGACAAATTGATAATAGATTGAATTATTCTAACCAGCCTTGAAACCCCAACCTAACCTACACCATCCACTAGTCCCAAAATCCCCACCTCTCCGACCCACCCCTCATCGATCAACCCCAAAACAACTAGCCCCAAAACTCCCACTCTCACACCACCCCAAAGCCTCCTTATCTTTGATTTGGGAAAAAGGAGAAAAAAAAAGGTGGTGTAGTGGCTGAGGTTAGGATTGTTGTCATCCGTAAAGGGGAGAAAAAGAGAGAGATAAAGAGAGAGAGAGAGAAAGGAGGCAGTGGTCTTGAAAGTGGGTGATGGGCTGCTGATGGTGGTCTTGAAAGAAGGCCGGGATAGTGGTAGTGGCTGGGTACGTGATTTTTTATTTATTTATTTTTTACTTGTAGAATTGTGGATTTTCTTTTTAAAATAAAAATCTAACCTTAGTTATTTTTTAACTAAAGGTCTAAGAAAATAAGGTCATTTGTGAGAATAACTTCTTCATTAGGGTCATTTAGTATTAAAAAAATGAGGGTCAAACATTTCAGTGTCAGTAAAAGTACAGGGCCACCATTCAGAATTTCACTTTCCCAAAATAAACCTCTCAATTTTGTTTTTTTTTTTTTTTTTTAAAAAAGCTACAATTCTTAAAAAACAAAAAAAAAAAACTACCACCTTAAAAAAAAAACTACCATCTGAAAAGAAAAAAAAAAACTTCCATCTGAAAAAAAAAAGAAAAGAGAATCGAGCCTCTTTACACACACGAGTTTTCGTATGTCGCTTAGCTTGCAAGTATAAAACTAAAACAATCAAACTATACATGTACTAACAAAGGCGGAGACAAGGTGGCCAAGAATGTGATGGTGGTGATGGAGCAGGCAAAGAGAGAAGTTCATTGGGAAAGAGATTTTAAAAAAGGTTGGGATAGGGATAAGAAGAAGAAGAAGAAGAAGAAGAAGAAGAAGAAGAAGAAGAAGAAGAAGAAGAAGAAGAAGAAGAAGAAGAAGAAGAAGAAGAAGAAGATAGAGGTTAATTAAGAAAATGGGACAGAATTATCAAGTTTTCTTTGAGAGACCTGAAGAACAATTAGGGGTTATAATATAGTTGAAAGTTAGGTCAAAATAGTGTTGCAATTGACCCTAAAACGATTTTCAAAAGTATATGAAAATCAAATGGCCTTCAACCGTATTTATATATCCTGTATAATTTTTAATTTTTTTTAATTTTTTTTATCATGTAAAAATAAATTTAGACTATATGATTAACTTATTCTCCATATAAATAATTAAAAAAGAAAAATAACAATAACAATAAATCCCCTATGAATTAAAATACACATTGATTTTTCACAAGAGTATTTTATCTTGTGGTTTTATAGAGAACAATTCAAGTTTGTCCTAAATTGTATTTTGGTGAAAGAAATAACAACACTTTCTCCCTATGGATCTTAATTGGGACTTGTACCTCATGTATTGCTATATCTCACTTTCCCTACAAAGAAAGATTAAAAAGTGTTTTGCCAATTACCATGATAAATCAAAAGGTAACAAAACAAAGAAAGAGGAAGTAGTGTTCATGTTTTTCTGTTTCCTTTTCTTTTAATTTTTTTTTATTTAAGAATGGATATACTTGTCCACAGTTAAAGTGAACCCAAAATGCTGAATTCTTACTTAAAGTATCAACATTATACAAAGATTACAAACTACAACTATACTAGATTTCCACTTTCTACTTCTTCCTTCCTCATCTCTTGCTCATTTCCAACTCCTTTTCCATTAACACCATTTTTATTTTTGTGGTGGACAATTTTACACCATTAATACTATACTATTATACAGTTTTCATACTTCAATTATCATGCCTAGATTAGTTATTATATATAGAGCTACGCGTATTTGCTTCACTTTTCCCCTTCGATGTTTTCTCATTTACTAACCCACTTTCTTCACACTTCTTTATTATCAATATATTACAATCTTATTTATCTCTAACATCATTGATTTTTATGTGATTTTCATATCCTTTTCTCATTTTCATCATTACAAAATTATAATCTTCTTGCATGGATCAACCTTTTGTCTTCTTTTTCTTCTTACAATTCTTGTTCTTCAAGGGAACTTTTGGTGCAACAATCACTATATTAAACAAGTGTGATTACACTATTTGGCCCGGTGTACTATCCAATGCGGGTAGCCCCGATATAGGATCCACCGGGTTCGAGCTCTCCTCAGGCGGGTCAAGATCTTTTCAAGCTACCCCGGGCTGGTCGGGCCGGGTATGGGCCCGAACCCGTTGTGGGCAAGATTCCACCTTGGGCCGGTGGGTTTGCTCAACGGGTGATTGTAGGACGGGTCAGCTTGAGTGCACCGGGTCGGGGGCTACCCCGCCCGCAACCCTTGCTGAGTTCACCATCGGGCATGGACCCACCGATCACGATTTTTATGATGTCAGCCTTGTGGACGGGTTCAATGTTCCTATGGTCATTGAGACCGAAGGAGGGTCTGATTCGTGTCTACCCACGGGCTGTGCATCTGACTTGAACCAACAATGCCCTAGCGAGTTACGGGTCGCTGAGGGCGATGCTTGTAACAGTGCTTGTGGCGCATTCGGTACGCCGGAGTATTGTTGTAGTGGCACATATGCATCACCAAGTAGTTGTGCACCTTCTCAATACTCAAAGATGTTTAAGTTATCGTGTCCACATGCATATAGTTATGCATTTGATGATCCTACAAGTACATATACGTGTGTAGGTGCCGATTATACCATTACATTTTGTCCTTCTTTAACAAGGTTAGTATTACATATTACTAAATATTTAAAAAAAATTATCTTATTTCTACAGTAATTTAGCACCTAATAAAACCAAATCAAAAGCAATTCACAATAATAAGGCCACGATAACAAAATTTAAAAATCATGTACAACGACATTTTTTATTATTGTCAAAACTAAAGAATGAAATAAATAATACTAGTGCTAAGTTAACAATATTGTCATTAATTTTTATAATTAGTATTATTTTTCTTACAATATAATTAACAAAAACATGAAACCGAAATAATTAGATTTCTGTTAAAACTTTATAACAGTGACTAAATAAGAAGGGAAAAAAGTCATAAGAAGCACGACAATTGTTGTAAACAAGCTTTATAAAAAAAAGTACGAGTATATAGGATAAGAAGTGATATAACGTAGTTTTGAACAAAATTCCTTTACTATATTTTGTTATCTTTTATTATGAATTTTTTTTTAGCCCATTTTTTTATATTAATCTTTAGGTTTGTGCGTGAGCATCCTTTATTCCATCCATATCTTTTATATCTTCCATGAGTTAGCTTCCTTTGAAACTTTTATTTTTCCATTTGCCAAATTGGCATTTTCAATTATATACATAAAAAAAAAAATAAAAAAAAAAAATTAATAAACTGTAAAATGTAAAGTATGTTGAACGTTGAATATGTGATAATATATATTATACTATATACAATTAAAAAAAAATGCCATGGCTGGATTACCGCTAATCTTGATCTTATTAATTTATAATCGTAATTAATGATTTCGTGTCACTTTTAAAACTTTAATAATAAAAATATACATGCAAGGTTCTTATTGGTGGTTGTTATTCGCGGTTGAATGTCGTATCCGAACTAATTAATATTATCATCATCTTAAAACTTGTTTGAGCAACTCTTTTAAGATGATGATAATATTAATTAGTTCGGATACGACATTCAACTCTTTTAAAACATAAGTGTGACATCAGCTTGAATGTCGTATCCGAACTAATTAATATTATCATCATCTTAAAAGAGTTGCTCAAACACGCAATAAGTTATTAAATTAAAATAAAAAATGTTTTAGGGTTTGCATTTATTTATTGATCATAAAATTTGACACAAGGTTCTTATTGTTAAAATGCAGCCAGCAAAAATCTTCTCTTGGTGGTTCTCAATCTTCATCAACTGGATCCGATTTCGGATCCGGACTTGGATCCTTATTTGACGATGGTAAATGTCACAAAAAAGTGTGCGTAGGAGGTGGTCAATTTTTATCAAAGAGTCCAAGCAAAATAATAAACCAATTCTATTTTGCTTGGCAATATATCACTATTTTTATTTCCACTTTAATATTATCTCTCCAATTTTTTTCTTTATAATTGCATTTTCTCTCTCTTTTTCCATGCACATACATGCAGCGTAGATTTTTTTTTTTTTTTTTTTTTTTTTTTTTTTTTTTTTAAGAACTCCAATTATTGATATTTTTTTGACCCATATTTGGAATGTAAAGTAGAAAGAAAAAAAAAAAAAAAGCGACAAGACATACTTTATGTACAGGATATTCAATATTCATATGATATGTCGTCGCAAAAGATTTGCATACGTCGATTTCCTGTGTAAAGATATGTGTATGATCACATAAAAGTGAATGCATTCTACTTTACTGCTCCAAAAAATCAAGCATTAGAGAAGATGTTTTTTAGTGGGTACAAAAAGAAAATTTACTTTGCTGAATTTGCAAGATTGGTAGTTTTTCTATAGTTTTAACTATTTTGGAATCATATCCAACTACAATCTTTTGGGACATTTACATCATGATTTCAATTTTCATCAATTATATTTTAAAATTATAACAATAATATGCAAAAAAAAAAAAAAAAAAAAAATACACTTGTTTACATTAAATTACAAAGTACATTTTTATTTCTATGGTAAACATTAAAAGCGATATTACCCCATTTTTATTTTGACTATGCTTGTTTGTTAATACATATATTTGACCAATAATGTATCTAATTAATCAAGTGTAAGTTAGTAGTAGTAATATACATATACATATATATTAAGAAAAGGTAGCATTCATCAAGAAAAATCTAATAAGAGTCTTAATTCCTCAAATTATAAGTATTTGCAAGATCACAAACAAGAAGAACATATAAGGACAAAAGGAGTATGTATGTGTTGGACTGATAGAGTATACCTTGTATATAATTGTATTGTGAGTAATCTAGGGACATATATTAATGGCTGAGGTCAGCACTAGCTGATTGAACATTTATTGCAATAAAAATGAACATTTTTTAACTGAATATATTTTACAATAATTTTGTATTTCTCAATAATCAAATGTTCATTTTCATGATGTATAATGTTCATTCTTATAAATAAATGTTTATTTTCATGCCGTATGATGTTCATTCTTATAAAAATAAATGTTCATTTTATTTTTTAATTAATACAAATTTTTGTGTTCGTTCAGTTGTATAAAATGTGTGTTTTCTTTTTTATAATAAAGGATGTTCAATGAACATTAGCATTAATAATGTTAGACATTAGCATTTTGTTCATTATTAAAAAAACATATTGTTAATTTATTTAATTGTTATTAAATCATATAGCCTAATTGCATGATATCCACTCAAGAGAGTTCAACAAATCAAGGTATTCACTTGAAATGTCAAGTGAGGAATGATCTGCACTCGACACTCATCCTTCTACTGCAAGTCACATGTTGACTTCTCTTTTCCTATTTAATTGCTTTTGACTTCATCTAGTGCTTCTTGCTTTCCTAGCATTTCAAGTTTTTTCAAGCTTTTCTTCCTTTATTTGCTTTTGGTATTAATGTCTTTTAGGGATAAGGTCAAGAACATTTGGCTCCATGGTTGCTAGTTTTCATTTCATAATAAGCTCCATGGGGTCCTTTTTGGTAGCAGTTCTCTACTGCAATTTTCTTGGTGCTTCATTTAAGCATCAATAAGTAATATATTTTCCCTCTCACCTTTAAAAAAAAGAACAAATCAAGGTATAACTGAAATGTTCAAATTATATAATATTAAATGTACAATTTTTTTCCGGTTTTAAAGTCTCTTTATTTTATTCTTATATTATAAATGTTCATTTGTATATAATGCTATATTCAGAAATAAATATTCATTTTTTTCTAATGAATATTCAATTTTCTTCTAATAGATGTTCATTTGCTGGGCACGACCTTAGCAACGCTCACTGAGCGGGACCTCAGCCAAAAATTTGCTGACATATATCCATTTTATAAGCTTTTGAAGGTTTTGGCTCCTGGTTTATAAGGGATTTGGGCTTTTGTTTTAGATGGAAAGGGCTATGGGCTAATTATTAAGAGAAGGCTTAAGATTTTAGCTGGAAAGGAATAATGAACTGAATTAAAGGGCAATGGGCTGTAGTTAAAACGGTTAGAATTACAAACACTTTACTTTTAAAGTTCACCATCAATTCTTGATTAGGACATGCTTGGATTGGGGGTAATATATTAAGGGAGTAATAAAAGTCAAACTTGAAAAATAATAAGTAATTAGAGGTGTAGTGGAGGAGACAAGGTGTTTACAAGTGAAAAAGAGAGTTGTGCATGCCATGAGGAAAAGAGAGAGGTGGAGGAATTATTATTCTCATAATAAGGGTAAAAGTGACCCACCCTCCCTCTAGTGTATCTATTACCAATTACCCCCAAAAATGAGGGTATTAATTCTTCTTTCTTCACCTCATACCACACCATCACTATATAATTTTCCTTACAATCACACAATTACTATCTCCTCCTTCTTTATATTCATTTTCATTTTGCTTAGTTTGACTTTTATTACTGTAGTAAAACATCTGCCTCAATCCAAGCATGTCCTTAATTGAGTACTCATCAATAGGGGTGAGCAAAAAATCAGGGTACCCTGAATCAGAACCGGAACCTGTTAAGAACCGCAGGTTACGAAACCGGAACCTGTACAAAAGGTTCCGCTTCCGAGTAGCAAACCGGAGAACCTGTTGTAACAGGTTCCGGTTCAAGTTCTCAATTTTTTGGAACCGGAACCTGTAGGGTACCCTGAACCTAGGTTCCGGTTCAGATTCTCAATTTCCAGGAACCTGTTCAACAGGTTTTGATTCCGGTTCCGGTTCCCATTTTAAGGAACCTATTACAACATGTTCCTGTATAGGGTACCTTGTTATGCTCACCCCTACTGATCAATCATCATCAAACCTTATATGGAGTACTACCACAACCCCATAAAAATTTAAGCCCCTAGTTAAAGTATTTATATCCTTAATCCTTCCCATACTCTAAAAACAAAAGAACTATCAAAATGGACTTTCAAAGACAATGAGTCGAGTCGAGAACGACCACAAGTCGTCGCGCACCAAGCCTTGCATAAGGCTTTGCAAATTACTGTGGGTTGTGTATGGTGTAAATGTTGTGCTCTAGGCGTATTGCGGAAGTGGGTGAGGCTGCGGGGAAATCAATGTTTTAGTAACAAGGACAACATTAATGCAAGCTTAAAAAACGATAATGTTCTTCCCCTTCAAATAAATCAAGATTTTGTAAACGAAACTATTTTCCATATGCAAACCTTCTGTTAAATTGTGACTCGAAATCTAGTAGGGTTGACTTTGAATGCGGATATCTCTCAAACAACAAGTGATTTTGAGGTGATTTAAGTTTGAGATGATATTTGGTTCAGGATCTTTTCAACGATAGGTCATATGCCCAATTCCGATAAGAAACGAGAAAGTTATGACCATTTTACGAAAAATTGAGGCTGTTGGAAATGTGGCAATGAAGTACACGATCAGGCACGCCCACGCCTAGTCGAAATTTCAGTTCTGTGGTCCGGTTGTAGCTTAATTATTTTAGGGATAATTTCCTAAATTTATATATTTTCTATGACGGCTATTTGAGTATGTTTGGGGAACAATTTTTTTTTTTTTTTTTTATTAGGGTTTCATTGTGTTATAAAAGGATCCATTAGTTGATCAATTAGATCATACCTTTTGAGCCATTAGATTTAGGACTCCTTGTATTATTTTCTCGTTCTTTCTCTATTATAGTGAAGAAGCTCTCGAATCCCCCACCCGTGGATGTAGGTTTATTTTGGCCAAACCGCGTAAATCCTTGTGTTCTTTGTTTCTCTTCTTTAATGCTTTTCTCGTTCTTAATTTTCATTGACTTGTTCCGCATTAATCAAACACAACTACACCGACCCTTATTTCCTAACATCTTCATATGTGTCTGACCACACGATGGCCAGCCACATTTTTTTTTTCTAAAATAATGGTCAAGGTTACTTAGTCTGGGGTTACTCGATCAGTCAGGGTTTACTCGGTTAGTCAGAGGTTGCTCGATCGGTTAGAGATTATTCAGTGAAGGGTTACTCGGTCGGTCCGGAGTTACCTAGTCATGGGTTACTAAGTCAGTTAAGGATTACTTGGTCAGAGGTTACTCACTTAGTCACTTAGTTCGAAGATTCTAAATCGGTCAGAATTTACTCGGTCGGTCAGGAATTACTCAGCCAGCGATTACTCCTCGGTCAAGGGTCACACAAAAAAGTTGTTGTTTACCATAAGCAAGTACACTATGATGATTTTTACTTGGAAACATGTTTTTTTTAGTGTACGTAAAATCATAGAGCCTTCGATGGCAAGACTAATTTAAAAAATCTATTCACATCCAAGACTAATGCTTGTTGTTGGGTGTATTGGTGGGGGAAGGAAACGGAGTGGGGGGTTGGCTTTATTTTGGAGATAAGGGTGGAAGGTTGATATAACTTCTTTTTCAAATAATCACATTGATGCAACTGTGGAAGATGATGATAAAGTCTGGAGATTCACGGGTATATATGGTTACCCCGAGGATAGTAAAAAACATTTAACTGGTGCTCTGATTGAATCCTTACATGCTGCTAGTTCACTACCATGGTTATGCGGGGGTGATCTAAATTTGATGCTTTGGTCTTCGGAGAAACAAGGGGGTGCAAACTTCAATTTCAATGAGGCTGCTATTTTGCGTCAAGCTTGTGATTCTTGCAGACTTGAAGATCTTGGGTTTGTGGGACATCAGTTCACGTGGAACAATAATAGGGGAGGAGATGAGAATATTCAAGAGCGCCTCGATAGATTTTTTGCTACTCAAGAATGGAAAGATATGTACATGGGCTCATTTGTTACACACCTTGAGAAGAGGAAATCGGACCATCTTCCCCTCTTATTGTGCTTAAAGGACCGTATTCATGCTACTAAGAAGAAAAAACCGAGGAAAATTTACAGATTCGAGGAGATGTGGCTGCGTGACGAAGGGTGTTCTGATGTGGTGAGTAATGCGTGGGGAAGGGGAGATTGTATCTCTGCAAATATTGCTAGAACAACAAGCTTACTTGGGTCTTGGAGCAAAGAAACATTTGGGGATTTTGGGAAAGAAATGAAAGAGTGTAAGCAACAAATGGCAGCTCTTATGGGGTGTACTCAAACGCATGATGTTCTTAATCAAATGCGTGCTCTTGATGAGAGAATGGATGAGCTTGAGGAAAGGGAGGAAAGGTATTGGCGTCAACGGAGTAGACAAGACTGGCTTCAATGTGGGGATAGAAACACAAAGTTTTTTCATGCCAAAACTAAGCAACAGATGAAGAGGAATAGCATTGAGAAATTAAAAGATGAAGCTGGGAACATCTATGATTCCGAAGACCAGATTGATGAGTTGCTTGTTTGTCACTTTGAGAATTTATTTGAATCGGCCAGTTCGATTGATACTGCCCCGGTCATTGATAAGGTCAAACCGCTCCTCTCTGATTCTATGACTAGAATGCTAGACGCCCCTTTTGATAGCAAGGAAGTGGTCGAAGCCATTAAGCACATGCACCCGACAAAAGCTCCTGGCCCAGACGGTATGTGTGCTTTGTTTTATCAGAATTTTTGGGATATTGTTGGAAATGATGTGATAGATCGTGTGCTTAACATTTTGAATAATGGAGAAGAAATTGGTTACATAAATCAGACTCACATTGCTTTAATTCCGAAAAAAGACACTTGTGAGTCTCCTGCTGATTTTAGACCAATTAGCTTGTGTAATGTGCTTTATAAAATTGTGGCAAAAGTCCTTGCAAATAGACTGAAGAAAGTGCTCCCTGATATTATTCATGAGTCTCAAAGTGGTTTTGTTCCTGGGCGACTTATTACGGACAATATTCTTGTGGCGTATGAGTGTTTCCACTTTCTGAGAAAGAAGAAGAAGGGAAAGTCGGGGTACCTTGGTCTCAAATTAGATATGAGTAAGGCGTACGATAGGGTGGAGTGGGTCTTTCTTGAACAAATGATGCTGAAGCTGGGATTTCCGACTGCTTTTGTAAACTCCATTATGGCTTGTGTTAGCTCTGCTTCTTTTTCCATCCTGGTTAATGGTCAGCCTTCTCGTGAATTCCGTCCTTCTAGGGGGCTTAGACAAGGTGATCCGCTCTCTCCTTTCTTATTTATCATTTGTGCTGAGGGGTTGTCTACATTATTGCGAGATGTTGAGTCAAAAAAGAAGATCCATGGTATCAAAATTGGCAAATATGTTGATCCAATATCCCATTTGTTTTTTGCTGATGATAGCCTCTTATTTGTAAGGGCTAATGAAGATGAGGTCGATAATATTTTGGATATCTTCTCCACTTATGAAATACCTTCGGGCCAGAAATTGAATATGAAAAAATCCGAAGTCTCCTTTAGCCGAAACATTGAGCCAGAAAAGCAAAATATTCTTCAGATGAAGTTATCTTTTAAGGCAGTTGAGGGACATGACAAATATTTAGGGCTTCCGACATATCTTGGTAGCTCTAAAAAAATGATTTTTTCTACAATTCAAGATCGGGTTTGGAAAAAGTTAAAAGGGTGGAAAGGAGGATTTTTGTCTCAAGCGGGTAGGGAGGTTCTTATTAAAGCGGTTGCACAAGCAATTCCGACTTATGCTATGCAATGCTTTAAAATCCCGACTAGCATTTTGAATGAGATTGAAAGACTGTGCTGGAACTTCTTTTGGGGGCAAAGGAAAAAAGAGCGGAAGATGGCTTGGATTGCTTAGGAGCACACTTTTTTCTTGAAGAAGGATGGTGGCCTTGGGATGAAGGATTTAAAAGCTTTTAATAAAGCCTTGTTGGCTAAACAAGCTTGGAGAATTCTGTCCAATAAATCCTCTCTTATGGTAAAAATTTTGAAGCAAAAATACTTCCCGAAAGTTGATTTCATGACAGCAAAGGTCACTTCAAGCGCAAGCTACACGTGGAGATCTATTATATCAGCTAGAGATTTAGTGTGCAAAGGAGCAAGGAAGCTTGTAGGTTCTGGTATGTCTATTGATATCTGGTCAGACCCCTGGGTGCCTACACTGCCCTCCTTCAAAGTCCTTCCTTCACAGATAAGACACGAGGAGAAACCTGCTGTTGTGGGACAGCTGATTAGCAATGGTGAATGGGATATGGAGATGCTGAACACTCAGTTCCTGCCTTGGGAAGCTGAGGAAATTTTGAAGATCCCGATTGCTAAGTATTGTGAGGAAGATAGTTGGACTTGGCATCAATCTAGCAATGGTATTTTTTCTGTCAGGAGTGCATACTATATGGAGTTAAAATCGAAGAGTGTTAACCAGGCCACTACCTCTAGTGATTCTGATTCGAAGTGCTGGAGTAATTTGTGGAATGCGATGGTTCCTCCCAAAATTAAATTGTTCGGGTGGAGAGTGCTCCATAATAGCATTTGTTTCGGGTGAAAACAATGGGACCTTGCCGAAGGTCCGCTGAAATGGAGAAGACTGGATTCGGTCCAAGTTACGTTGGGCCGAAGGTTTCCTGCACAGTAAACACACGTAAACTAGCCTCGGGGGTGTTGCCGAGGAAGGCCCCTCCGATGCTAAAGTCAGTACAATGTGTAAAAGGAAGACACTATGCAAGAGAGTTTGTAGCTTGAGGCTTTTGTGGAATATTTCTGAATGCCAGAATGAGCATATCAATTGGAATATCAATATGAACGTCAATGTGTGAATGTGTCAATATGATGGCTTTTATACCTCATCATACATGGAGAGGTTGGGCTTTAGCCCAATTGGCTTACTTTGTGGGCTGACCTTTGACTTTTGAGCAATTGGAGAGTTGAACCTTGACCTTGGGCTTTTAATTGGATCATTTAGTGCTTAGGCCCAATTTTGACTAAATTGGACCCAAACAACTTGCCCCCCAGACCCGATTTGGAAGGATGACGGGTCGGGTTTGATTTAATTCAGAAAAGGAGGGAAGTAAATGATTTAATTGATCCAAAAATTTGAGTTTAAACCGTAATTAATGAGATAACAACGGTTAATGATTGCGGAAGTTGGACGGATAATGGGCAGTTTAATCACAAGATCATGTGTTTAATGGTTACTTAGTGGGTATTTAAGAGAAATTAAAGCACAAACTCTTCGTATCCCGTACCTGGAGATATAAACAGAGGCGCGTCATTCTCCTCACTTATTCACCAACACAAACCCAGGATTCTTCGAGAGAGAAACCAAGAACCCGCATCAAAACTTCGCAAATTCCCCGAGCATTGAGCTTAGAAACTGAGACTTGCCACTACGAATTCGTAAATCGGCAACTTTCGCTTCAGATTAAGGTAAATTCCTTTGATTTCAGTTTATTTTTCTTCGAATTCGAACTCCTTCCCCTTTTCTTTCGACTTTTCTCTTCGAAATAATCAATGGCAAGAGGAGTTAGAGGTAGAGCCCGTGCTCCAAGAAGAGCAAGGCCGATTCCCGATCCTAGGAACAGGATTGGGACCTGGAATGGTCAAAGGCCGGAGTCTGACCCTGCTGAAGGGATTAGGGCGATTCCCCTTTCCTCGGCTCCTCCTCAAAGAACGGATGAGCCGAGCGCTTCTGGACGGGATGATGAAGTTCCCGCTGTACTTTGGGATATCCTCCCTGGGTTTTCAGAATGGGAGAATGCCGAAGTCGTTTCGGCCATGATAAAAAATCGCCCCTACTCATGGTGGGTAGAGAACGCCGATCAATATCGATTTGCCGAGCAAATTGAGTTGCATTACGGCATTTTTGAAGCTGATGGATATTGGTGCCGAATGCCCTCAGCATCCGATAGAATCCATCGTCCACCCCCAGGGTATGTGGGGGTGTACACGAGACAGCTTCAGTACGGGCTGAGGTTCCCTTTGGACGTTTTCGTCCGAGACTTGCTGATCCATTACAACATCTCCCTATGTCAGCTAACCCCCACCAGCATCCGAAGGGTGATGACATACTTATGGGTCTGCAAGTTCTTCAAGTACGTGCCGAACCTGCACTGCTTCAGAAAGCTCCATCGGCTAGTGCCAAATATTCAAAGTGGGCACGGAAGCCATGGTTCTGGGTGGTACCGGATTGAGTCCCGGCCCCAATACTTGACCATGTGGCCAAACGACTCTTCAGACAAGGACAGGAGAGGTCAATGGATTTGGGTTAGGGCACCCACAGATCCGGGCCACCCTTGCGTCTTCAGCGCTCCCCGGTACTTAGCTGAGCCTGATCCCGAAATGGGAAGTCTAGGTCCCCCCGCAGATAACGGGGCGGATCCGAACCTGGATCAGCAACATATCTTCGGCAAGCTGCCGAACCCGGGGGGGAGTGGTCGAATGCAGCATATCCCGGAGACTTGGCTCCCCGATACGCATTACGTTTTCCAAGAGAACATGCTAGCAGCTGTTGGCCTCAGCCGAAAGTTTAAGGATGGTAAGCTTCTTCGGCTGGGGCCGAGGCTTTTTAACTACCTCTTTTTCTTCTCTCGCTTTGCTTTTTTTATGTTGTGCCGATCTATCTGAGCTAAACTTTCCCCTTTCCTTTTTTCAGAGCGGGACGAGACCAACGTTGACATTAACTACGCTCGTCTTGGTGTCAATCGAGAGCGAGTTGTAACTGAACGGGCCCCGTCTATCACTGAGCCGAGGCATAGGGAAGTTCACCTAGACTCTTCCCACTTCCAAATCGAGGCTGTTGCTCTGTATCAGAGGCAGAAGCCTTGGTGGAAGAAGAGAGACCCTTGGTTTCAGCTGCTGAACGAAGAAGCTGAAGCGGCCCGCACAGCCGAAGAGGTTGCACGGGTACTTGAGGCTTGCGAAGGAGGAGAAGGGTCCTCCAGAGCTGCTGAAGCCGAAGCTGCAGCTAGAGCAGCTGAAGAAGACGAGGCTTTGCTGAAGACCTCGGTGAGCTTTCAGACAACTTTTTCTTTTTTCTTTTCTTTTTTCTTTTTTCTTTCTTTTTTTTTTTTTTTTTATTACTCACATTCTTCTTCCCCCCTGTCTGTTACAGTCTGAAGAGAGTAACAGACACAGAGAAGGCAAAGCTCTTGTTCGTCCCGAAGACCAAATACAAGAGTCTTCAGACTCAGATATGGACGAGCAGCCCCTTCTGAAAAGGCGCCGAAGGATGGCCATCATCGGCCCTCATGACTTTCAGCAGAGGCCGATGACCATCGGCGTCGCAATAAGGGAACCTGAGGAAGGCAACGGATCGCCGAGGGTTCCCCAGCCAACACCCCAATCACCTCAAAAGACCCCTCCGCCACCTCCTGAGATGGAGGTGGATCAGAGAACTCCCGAACCTAAGGGAGGGGTCCAAGAAGAAATCAAGAAGAGTGCTGATGAGCACGAAAATAAGGATGCCGTGATGTCCAGCGCTGAGGGCTTCACGGCAGACATCGCAAGAGAGGTTGAGGCTTTCGTCCTCACCCCTGAAGAAGAGGAGGTCATAGTAATTGACTCCTCTGAGAAGGACGATGCTGAGACAACCAAAGCTAATCAAGCTCCATCGTCGTCCTTCCCTTCTTTCCAGACTCTGCATTCTGGAGAAATGGGTTTCTCGGCCCCCCGAATTCCAATCCCAGACCACATCTGGGACCTCATATGGGGTCAAAACCGAGAAGGAGCTGCAGCCTACTTCGGCAATTTTGCTGGCATGTCCGAAGTAGACAGGGCAAGGATCTGGTCGCTGAAGGCCACTGCTGGGATGGGCGAATCCAGCAGATCAGTTCCTGACCCAGCCAGGTCTAACCAACTGCTGATGATGCAGGTAATTTTCCTTGTCTTCATTTCCTCCGAAATTCAACTCTTAAAATATATATATTTTTTTTATATTTATTTTTGTCTTCCTGTTTTCAGTTCGTGCACAATCAGACTCTCACTGTAGAGATGATAGATACCCTACAAGATAGGGTAGACGCTGCTGTGCATGACAAGAAGGTGGCTGATGAGGAAGTAAAGCTTGCTAAGTTGAAGCAAGCAGCAGCTGAAGAGAAGCAGCAGGAGGTTGAAGAGTACGGGAAAAAAGCTGCTGAAGCCCTGAAAACCTTCTGCGATGCTATGGAGAAGGAAGTTTTTCCCCCACTGATGGAAGGGGAAAAATTCCTCCAGGAGCATATGGGAGTGGACGTCTCCAAATTCAAGGCTGCTGTTGAGAGCCGAATTCAAGAAGGAACTGCTGCACAAGCTGAAGTGCAGCAGCGTCTAGAGGCTCTTGAAGCCAGCCGAATGGCTGCTGAAGAGTTGCTCCTGGCCAAAGACGTCCAACTCTCAGAGGCTGCTGCTGCTGCTGAAGCCCAAAGAGCTAAATTCCAAGAGGCTGAGGATCAACTGCTGATCCAGAAAGTTGAAGTGGCCCAAGCTCAGACAAAGGCTTTCCAAATTCAGCAAGAGCTGAATGAGCTAAAAGGTTCTTCCTCCAAGGTCGCTGATGAGCTGAAGAAATCCAAGGAAGACTTGGAGGAGACCCAGAAGAAACTGGCTGATGCTGAGGCTTTACTCAAAGTCCGTGTCTATACCCAAGAGGAATATGAGATGGGTTTCAGAAACGGATTCCGAGTTTGCCGAAGAGTCTGCCTTCATGCTGAGCCGAAGCTGGACTGGTCTAAATGTGCTGAGTGGGTCCAGAATCCCGAAGACCCTCACATGAAGTATGCAACTCCAGCCGAAGCTGAAATTCTTAAGGCTGAGGAAGCCGAAGAGGAAGCTGAGAGACTGGAGTTGGAAGCTGAGCAGAGGGAAAGGGAGGCTCGGCAAAGTGCAAAGCCCGCTTCTTCTGCTGCTGGGGCTGAGGCCACCATGGGGCTCAACGCTGATCAGTCTGATCCTCAGGCTGAAGCATAGGAACTCGGGCAGTCGTCTTCAGAATCTTGCGGTTCATCATGTGCTTAACTTCAGACTTGCCGCTTTCTGAATTTTTTGCCTTGTTTTTTGCTTCAGCTTGCCTTGTCGTACAGCAGTTTTATTTTTTTGCTTATGTACGTATTTCGGCAGCTGTTATTTTCCGCTTGTGGGCGGCTGCCGATATTGAATTATTGAACTTGTAGCTCAATTTTTGAGCATGAAATATTTATTTGATGCTCTTTTCTTCAGTTGCTTTATTTTGATGCTCTTTTCTTCAATTCTGACGAACATACTTGCACTGAGTGCTTCTTGCCCCCCCAGAAATTGAAGTATGACTTCAGCTGAATAAGCAATTTCTTTACTTCTTCAAAATGGGTATCCGAAACACAGGGCCAACTGAAGGCAATGCTTCTGGGATACAAGTCTTACTGAAGATTGACTTTGTCTGAAAGTTGGATATCCGAGACACAGGGCCAACTGAAGGCAATGCTTGGGATATTAGCTTTCTGGGA